CGCTCACTCCACTTCAATACTCTCAATTCACTCAGAGGCCTGGCCGACCGGTGTCTCCCCGGTGTCTCCCAGGCGTCTCCGCGCCCCCCCTCCACCCCTCCACTCGGTGACCTGTCCGCCTAATGTCAGCATTTTTGAGACGTGATAAGCTGCGAAGCGCAGCATATTTCTCTCTGGTCACGCGGGTCCGGCTGGCAGGTCTGCGTATGTCTTCTTTGATTGTCATGATATGATGTGCCTTTCTGGATTTGTGCAGGCAAGGATTAGTATGATGTGCATCTGTTATATGATATAAGTCGGCATGCAGAGGTTTCCAACTCCATCTTGCCATTGCACTCATCACCCGAGAGCCGAGACATGGTTCAGCCTCGGTTCAGTCGTGCCTGCTTGTCTCTGATTTTCTGTATGGCCTCCGCGCCTGAGCGCTGCTCTACAAGCAGCCGGCATCTGAGGCATCTCGAGCGAGGTGCACTTCTTGATCCAGCCCTGTGCAGCAGCTGGGCTGCCAGCGTCTCCTTTCCTGGTCCTCCATCAGCGCCTGAGCATTTGAGAAAATCTGAGAACCATGGTGTGGCGGTCATGTTTATGCTCAGCTCCAAGCAATCTGAGCCTGCATCAGCGCAACGTCCTGCAGGGGATTCGTTCCTAAAAGCGCACCGTCCTCACCACCCACACCGATTCTTCGATTTCTTTGCTAAGGCCGTCACATTGAACCAAGGAGCAAGGCGTAATTAAGTGACTTCAGGCAATAACGTCTCCATCATCTCGCAAGACTTGGCGGAATGATAGCTGCTTCAAGGAGCCTTCTTTGCTTCCTCTTGCTTTTGCATCGCCTAAGGGTGCATCGGAATGCATCAGAATCACAGTGCAAGCCAGAAGAGGGCGCTACCTCGCCTTCTGCTCGACAGCTTGCTTCGCTGCGTCTGCCATCTGCTTGGCAATCTCCTCCGGAGGAGATCCATGCAATTGCGCTGCTTACATCTGCCAATATCTTCTCCTGGACTACTACAAGTATGCCAGAATATGCGGGAGCACAGGAACAGTTAAGAAATACCCGAGCTTTGCATCATTTTGCATTCTCTCTCTCTCTCTCTCTCTTCAGAGACGCCGGCGTATTCACGTTGTGCCATTGCTGTGCCTCTTGATTCTTTGAGAAGTCTTGAAAGAGATCTTGAGAGGGCCCTCGCCTCAGCTCTCCCTCAAACCTCAGCCCCACAGATTCTACTTTAAAATTCCAGTACACGTGATCTGTTTACAGACACCGTCCAAGTATCAGTGATGGCAGGCTCTTTTCCTGCAATATACCTGCGTAAACAACCGCGAAGTGCCTTTCCTGATCCACCTAGATTCTTGCTGCGCATCTTGTGCCTGCTGCTTGCGCCGTTTCCGTTCTTCTGCTTCTTCTTGCTGAAGCTTGGCTTCGGCTGCCTTCCAACCGAGCACTGAAGACGTGACGGAAGTGACAATCCAAATTGCAACAGCTTCTGAATTTTTGCCCACCTGCTTGGCCATGTCCTCCTCGAGCTGAGCCACCAGACGCGCCTCCGCCCGCTTCCGCTGACGACCAGCCTCAGGTCGCTTCCCACAGTTCGTCATGGTTCCTTCTCCTAAACCCTAAACCCCAAACACCATTCAAGGCAATCCCACCTCTGCATGCCTGGCTTGTTCCTCGTTGAACTTCCGCAAAGCCTTAAAGCGGTGACACACTGGGGACAAAGTGCACCTGACACCTCCCCAATGGGAGCGCCTCTTGCTGCTGAGCTTTTTTCATTCGCTCCTCCTCTTGCCACCTCAATGAATGAATGACTCAAGGCCAAGGACCAGAACACCCAGCCAAACCAGCACATCTTCCTACTCAGCTATGCAGCGGCTACGAGAACAAGCCCAGTGGCACCCACTATTACCCAACATAGTGGCAGAGTGGCACATGGTGCATGCAGCTCTCACCAAGGCCAGCTCTGGTCTGCGTCTGCCTGATAGCAAGTGGCATGATTTCCCTACTTCCGCAACTCTACGCAACGTCTCCGAACCTGCATCTTGCCACCCCATTGCATCATGGAGGACTTGTACTCGCTGTCCTGCTCGTGGTGCCCGCGAGCTCCATGCACACATCTCAGAGGTGCACTCACAAGCACAAGCTCAAGTGCAGCTGAACTCCAAAGTGTCCTTTTGACGAGCTTCTCGGACCTGAGGCAGTAGCTTCAAGGTCACCACAGCGAAGCTGCGAGAAAACTCTAGGCATCTTGAACACCAGCCTGCTCTTCGAGAACATTCTTTTGCCTGTCCACGCAAACCACGCAAACATCGTGGGCCGGAGAAGCGGCCAGAGTCTTGGCGATTGTCACATGTTGTAGATATAATACCTGCACAGTTAATGCCAGTCAGCTGTGGAGCAGATACAGCCCGGCACCTGGCTTTCCTCTCGCTCGCCTGCTTCTGCTCGAAGCTCTCCTTTTCTCCAAAAGCATATTTGGAGTGTGTCGGGCGCTGGGAGCCGTAAATCGTCCTGCCCACTTGCCCAACTAGGCCTGGCCACTTGCCCCGTTCAAGCTCCCGGTCCCGCCCTGCATTTCAGGAGGCCCAAAAGTCTTCAGCGTTTAGATACGCGCATGGGTCGGTGATAGGCTGGTCGGTGCTGGCCATTGCATTGTGTGGGAGCACTGGCTGCCATTGGTGAAACATGGACCGAGTGCATCCTATGCAAGCTCTCTTGAAACCAAGTTGCTAGATCGGTGCCCTTTTGCATCCTTTTGCCGAGGCTGACAGGCATGCGTTGGAGGGTACTATACCCGGCATCCGTCGTTTTTCTGAGCCTCTCAGGTGCTCTGGCCTGATTGTAGCCAACACGCGTGAGGGCCCCATAATGCGACTTGGCACGGTGTGAGGCCGAGGGTGGGGGAGGGTGGGGGAGGGGGGTGGTGGGGAGGTGGTGGGGAGGTGGTGGGGAGGTGGTGGGGAGGTGGTGGAGGTGGTGGGGAGTTGGGGGGGAGGTGGTGTGGGAGGTGGTGGGGAGTGGGTGGGGAGGTGGTGGGGAGGGTGGGGAGTGTGGTGGGGAGTGGGTGGGGAGGTGGTGGGGAGGTGGTGGGGAGGTGGTGGGGAGGTGGGTGGGGAACAAGGGGGGAACAAGCGGGGGGGGGGACAGACAGCATGCAAGGCATGGCCCTCCTGCAGCAATCCGTCCATAGCGTCAACCTCGTGAACGAGCCTGCGCGAAGGTGCGTGGTGAGGTCTGGGTGCAGCACGCGACGTGGCTTAGGCAAGCAGCGTGTCAGGAATGTAAGCATTTCGACTGAGAGGCACACCTCCAGTTGGCAGCATTTGCATTCGACTCCTCCCCGAGTAGCTCCCGAATCAAGGAACCGATCTGCTCTGGATTCACCTGGGAAGTCCGGTTTTGAATCCACAGACCTTGCCGCTTACTCCTTTGCCTTTGCCACAAGGTCCCATGGGAAAGACAAGGCGGCTGCCTTCTGGGAGGTTGATGTCGCAAGCCGGGACGAAGCCTGTGCGGATCCGTGCAGAGCTGCAGGCTGCCGGCCAAACATGGCCTCACGCGTGCAGCCAGACCGGTGGTATCGAATAAGGCAGGAACAGTCGGCTTGCGTGAAGCAGACGAGGGAGATGCCCTCGTGCTTGGAATCTGCACTAGGCTCTCTGAGACTCCGTTGGTCTGGTGCTGAGGTTGTCATGGTTGTCAAGCAAGCCGGAAAAGCAGGCGCATGCTGCGCACGGCATCGGTCCCGGCACCTCCCAGACTCCACCAAGAAGCACCGCAAAAGGCGAAGGAAAGGCTATAAGATCACATGGGGATGTCGACACGAAGGCTATATTCAAGATAATAATGCACTGCTGCCATTTTGATGTGGAATTACGTGCATAGCTGTGGCTGGTAGCGCATCGGACAGATTTTAAACGAGGCCGCGGCTGCAGAGCCTTGAATCTTCCAGGATCTTCCTGGAAGAAACATCGCCAAACCACTGCATACGCTGACGGAATGCCCCTGAGCCCCGTGCTTGCTACTGTGTCGTGAGTTCGTAGTTGGTATCCGCACCTGAGTCCAGAAGAATGAGTCTCGTTTGCTTGTTACCCTCCCTGTTTCTCTTGCAGTGCGCGCGTGCATGCATGCGTTCGTGCGTGCGTGGGTGGGTGGGTGCGTGGATGGGCCCAAGCTAAGCACAGGCGGAGCCCCGTGATAAGGGGCACCGCCAGGTGGGCGGCGCGAAGACCTCCAGACAGTCCGGCCATAAGCGCGCACTGCAATGTGCAGTGGCAGTGCAGGATATGTGATGTTCAGGGACCGTGTCATGGCATTCGTGGCCAAGACATGGCCTGCTCGCTTCGGAGAAAGCTGGAGTGCTCGCGACGCGCGAGGGTCCAGGAGAAGCCTTGCAGGCAGATGCAGGCAAAAGACAGGTCAAACAGTTTGTGTTGAACTTCCAGCTTCGAGCCCCGAGGAAACCGCAGACGGGCGCAGGCCTTCGTCAGCAGCTTCTCCAGGCGCTGCCGCCGGAGGTCCAGGGCACTGGCACTGGGGATAATGGCCGACACCGCCTGAAGAGCTCCGACGGCTGACTGTATGGCTAGGCAGAATGCAGGCCTCAGTGCCTAAGCGGGGTGTAGCATGGTCTAAGCCGCTGCTGAGGCCCATCAAAAACTTCAAATGCTCCAACAAACAACTCAGGTGCGGGCTTTTTGCACCATGGCTCCATGAAGAATCCAAGTCGCTCTAATGACGTGTTGCAATCTGTTCAGGTGCTCGCCATCTTCTTACTCTAAACATGTCCTACCTATGGGCTCCCTGATGACTCCTGCATAGCTGCATACCTTTGCTGTTCCCATTGATTCAAGAACTCAGAAGCTGCTCACCAGGGCGATCGAGAACTCTCAGGAGGATGTGCGCATCAAAGCTCGGCAACATCAAATCCGATGGCACAAAACGCAAGATGTTCAAACTCAGTACATGATTCCATGGCAGGAATCCCCCCACTCCACAGGGGCACTGATTCAGCTCGCCGTCCTCTGGCAGCCAGCGTTGGGCTGCATCCGTTGCCAATTCCACATACGCTTTGAACCTGAAGGAGGGGGAGTCCATGCAATCCCACGGTAACCCTCAGCCATTCCTGAGGAGCTCTGGGCTCTGGATACACTGAGCCACGTGCTTTTGCATGGCCCTCTTGGAACCATCCAGGGTAGGATGATCCTCAGCTTGCGTGCGCTGGGCCGTTCTGTGCAAATGGCGAAATCTCGAGACAACAGCAAGTGCCTGAGTGCCTGACACACTTGTGAAGAACAATTTGCATGGGCTTGCCGGAAGCCTCTGCCTGCACAAGGTCATGCAGAATGCTCAGAGTTCTGCATCCTGAGTATATGGCAATCCACATGGGAACACGGAACTTGTGAATAAGCTCAAGCTCTCGACCTCCTTATGAATCTGCCTCGGCAGCCCCACCGCCTTTTTGGGCAGCTTCTTTCAGCTCTGGTGACAGTTCCTGATCAAAAATGAGTTTGGAAAGGGCCAGGATTCAGGATCTGTTCAGGACTGTTATTAAAAGGTGTCGGATCCAGGTTGGGGGTGCAGCAACGGCTAGGTCGACATGAACGATCAAATGAAGCCCATGAGCTCATCGTGATCAGAAACGAATGTCCCGCAACATGTTGCAGGAGAGATCAGGAGAGTCTCCTGAAAACTCCGTCTGCTGTATGCGCTCTCGTCCGCTCCTTCAGCCGCCTCCTTTGCCTGGGATCAGGGCACATCTCTGGCAGCTGAAAAGCTGCACAACTCAGCCCATCTTGTGCTGTTGCGCTCTTATGCGCCTTGTGCCATGTCAGAGCTAGGAAAGTGAGCTAAGGCTTCTGTGTGCAAGGCTCGGGGTCGATTGGGGATGGGACCTCGAGCGCGTGTCATACTTATGCCATCCACATCCAGACAGAGGCGCAGTTCCCCCCACCTCCCCTTCTTCCCTGTCTTCCCTGTCTTCCCCACTCCCCGAACCCGCAAGTTCTTTCTCCAAGCTGTGGAGTGCTGTGCTCCGAGAATGGTGACATTGGCTATCTTTGGCCACAACATCTACAAGGCTTGACAATGACAACCGCAAAGGTCACCTTCGGCATCTTTACGCTAGTAAGCCTCTGCGAACATCACGACCTTATCGGTCCGTGTCGATGCCAGCCGTGAGCCTGCAGAACTCTGTGATCGCTTACGGGTGTTTCACGGCTCGCGGTTTGAGCACAGAATTCCAAACTGGCTGACATGATCGATTCTTCTTCCTGTGTCCTGTCTGGCTGCCCAACTGTAGTTTTCGTTCGTTTTTTCGGTTCGGCTCTTTGTCGATCCGTCCTTTGTTGCTCGTCACGTTTTTCGCCCTTTGTGGGTCTACACGTTATGGTACAGTGGTGCGCTGTGCAGCTTCCTCGGTGCGGAATTCAGGTTGACAGGGTCGGAGGCACGTAAGCTGTGGCCAAAATTGCCTCTTTGCGCTGACGAGGCTTTTTGCTTCCGGCACCATGAAGTCCAAACATAGACCAACCCGCAATTAAACCTTAAAAGGTGGTGGCACTGACGCGCGGAGCTCGCCAATTTGACACGCAGCCGCTGCATATTTTGCTGCAAGAAATGGTTTTCTGAGCGGTCTACTGTAGCTGCCAAATCATACAACAGAGGCGAGCTCGACATTCTGAAATCTCTTCTCCGACGAGCAAGACCTGGTTGAATGACAACTCTTGGATCGTGGGCTGTCGCGCATGCTCTCTCGCAGAAGCTTTCGCCCGCTTACACGCCCCGGACCGTGGCTGGCGCAGCCTCATCAAGTCTTAACCACCTATCTTACACCTTTCACATAGGTTTGGGCCTGTGAGGATGCCCGAACGCTGGCCCACCCAGCTGCGATTCCGTGCCCTTGCCAGGCTTTGGAACCTGCATTTTCGGATGTTCTTTGCTTGACCTTTGTGGAATCTGCACCTTCGAACTTTTGTGGGAAATGCTGAACCTGATGTCTGAAGTGTATCTGAAGTTTGGTCGTCTGGGTCGCGCACTCGTGCCGCAAGTCCATAGGATGTCAGCTCCTTGACGTAGTCCTCTGCACCATCGCACCATCAGGCCGATCACCCAAGTTTTCCCAAGTTCCTGTGTCCTTGACGACATTCAGCGGGGCAGAGAACAGCTCAGCAGTACCAGTCTCGCAAGCCTACTGCGGGCGGAGCATGAGGAGCCCTCCCATCTGAGCTCGAACTTGAGCTGAACAGCAAAATTTACAACAAACGTGTATCTTGTGGGCCCTCCTGCAATGAGGGCAGCGTTTTGTAAGCTGCTCCTAAAAAACGTCGGGCAGACAGGGCCCTATCCTTGGTAGATCATGATTTCTCACATCTTGAACCACTCCCAGAAGTCCGGTAGACCAAATCCCAAAAGAAGGGGGGGGGATGCTCTCCAGCCCGTAGAGCAAACGTGAAGAAGCAAATGTGACGGGAGTGATGCCTCGTCGAAGCCATCGCGGACAGCATCTGAGCAGAGTCGATTCATTTATGAAACCTTCATGCAGCCCACCCCGGTGTGTTATTGTATTCCGAGCTTCAAAAAGCAGCACCGGAGAAAAAAAAGGATGAATAAAGGAATCATCAAGGAAAGTGAACAACCTCCCTGCCTATGTCGACAGTCCACTCACCAGCATCAGCCACAATTCCCACGAAGATGTCCTGACAAAGGCTACCATGATTCCAGCGGAGTATGTGCCTGCTCGCAGAAACTCCGGTCCGTCCTTATCCTTCCAGACATAGTGGTCCTGATAGAGATGAACGTCGTCATCACTACATGGGTATGGCAAATTTAAGTTGCAACCAAGCAGCTGTGCGACCTACTTCTAAAGTGTAGAGCTGGACATCTGGGCTATCCTGCCACAGAAATCCACATCATGCCGGCCCATGCCATGTCCGAGCTGCTCATGCGGCGATCTTCTGCCTCCGTGTCCGCGTTCCTCCGTACAAGCGTTCTTCTGCTTCGGGTAAGCACTTTGCCGCCTGGAACGCTGACACATATAACATCATATAACCCACCGAGGAGCGGAGCGGCAAGGCAAAGACAGACAATCGAAACTGAGCACTACCAGGTCCGAGCCTCCGAAGACCCAGCCCAGTGCCGGCCATGCGAAGACGACGACCTCCGGAGAACTTCTACTCTGAGTTCTCCTGGCACTATCTGGCAGTGGCAGCAGGCTATTGACAAAGAGACCTGCCTTCAGCACGGTCAACAACCGCCTCCTACAGAGGCGTCCACATAGCTTGTCCTGAAGAACCAAGCCATGGACTATTGCAGAGGCAAGAGATCACCAGCTTCGTCTGACTTCGCGTCCATGTTTGTGGGACTTTCATTGCGTGGGGTGAGTTCGGGGAGACTCATGCAAAGAAACGGCTTTCATTTCAAGTTCGCGTCAGCAAGAAAGCGAGACACTGCGGCAACGAGCCTGAACAGTCCCAGGCGACGACGGATGACAGCGCATGGCTTGCAAACCTCTGGTGCCTTTTGAGGCCTGTCGAACTTGCATTTGCTGGTACTACCCTGAAAAGCAGCGCTCGCATAGGCATTTCGTGCATGTGTGACCACGTTTGTTGCACGGCATGCGTGATGATGTGTGCAGATGCTCGTCCGGTGGTGTAGCATGGAACAATCAGAGCAGATCTGAAACAAGAGCAATGATCAGGAATATGCAGAAAGTCATAAGGCATAAGGGCTCAGACTCACTCTCTCAGACACGTTTCAGACATGTCTCTGCACTCTCTGCAAGAGGCTTTTACAGGGCTGGGTGAGCCTTGGGTCCTGTCAGAAATGCCCCGGTGTGACCGGTCTCAGAGTCTCAAGTCATCCGCTCTCACTTGATCATGGCCGGAACATCCCATGCCTCCAAAAATGTCAACAAGAACCGACAATGAGCGTCGTTTTTGCTCGCCGTTATTATGTTCACGTCGCTGAGATCCTTGCCTGCAGGCGGCCGCTCTCAAGAAGCTGCCCTACCTTTTGCCGGCGACTCGCTGCTGCCGTCAAGGCTGCGACAATCTCAGCAGGAAGAGGTATGCTGAGATCTCTGAATGCATGCATTCAACTCCGGACTACCTCCGCGTGCCGCTGGACAGGCCCTACACTGACGGCACTGTCCAATGTCTGCACGGACCGTTCTTGGTGCTCAAGGCACAGTCTGCACTCTCGAGGTCGAAACAGAGCAACTGGCACATGACCCCCGAATTTTGGAACACACATGTTGGCAGAGACCTGAGGGGCGAAAGGGGGTCGCTGGTGGCGAAGGGAGTGCACAGGAGACAGGGACAATTGGGCAGTGCGGGGGTCGCCTCCCCACATCCGACTGCCCACCCCGCCACTCCCGATCCCTCCACCCTACTTTTTTTTAAACACGCACGTCAGCCAATGTCAGCTGTCAGCATGTCTGCAAGCATTGACCGAGAGCGAAAGAGGGAGACAGAGAGAGAGAGAGAGAGAGACTGCAAGTGACAACGAGGTACCATAGACACAAATGCATGTGCCAGAATGATTACACCGAAATGCACTTAAAGAAGCCTGTTCGCACTAGTTCGCCTCGGCTTCCTGCCGAGAAGCGTCTGGAACAAGCAGACCCGGATCGGGCCTCCTTCCCCCTAACCCAACCCTTCCCCCCATGCCAAATTTTATCTGACGCCACCCCCCCCCCCGCCCTGTGGGACCCCCCCCAATCCCTTGGAGGAGCTGCAAACCGATGCCGTGCTTAGGCTTGTCGGTTGCTCCTACAGGAAGTGCCTCAAAACTCCCCCCACCCCCCCCCCCACCCCCCCACCCCCCCCCCCACCCCCCCCCCCCCCCCCACCCCCCCCCCACCCCCACCCCCCCCCACCCCCCCCCCCCACCCCCCCCCCACACCCCCCACCCACCCCCCCCCCACCCCATCCCGCCCCCCGCCCCCCCACCCCCCCCCCCACCCCCCCCACCCCCACCCCCCCCCCCCCCCCCCACCCCCCCCCCCCCCCCCCCCACCCCCCCACCCCCCACCCCACCCCCCCCCCCACCCGCTCTGCCCTTCCTCCCTCTTTCGTCCTGGGGCCGGCCCGGCTGCCGAGGCGGCGCGCGCAAGCGTTTACAATTAAGCCGAACATGTTTCGGCTCATTAATCATTAAGCTCAATTAAGCTGAGCCAGGGCTTACCTGAGCCCAAGTAAGGCTACCTATAGCCTTTAGGCAGGGGCATTAGCAGCCCTTAACTCTTCCAAGGGGGAGGGTAGCTCGGGCAGCTCCGCAGTCAGTGATTAATCTGTGGGTTGTTTCGGCTGGGTCGTGTTCCCCATCAAAGATGGTTGAATGCGGTGTTTTCGAGAGCAGGCCCTGAGCAGAGCATACATGTTTGGGCCTGGGACCTGGAGAAAGAGCGAAAAGTCGCGGCTTCGCATCTTCGACTTTGCCGTTTCCGGCACGTCTACTCTTTCTGCTGTTGCCACCATACGGTTTCAGTTCACCATGTTCAACCGTCATGGAAAAGTCGCTTGGCCTGCTCCTCCGTGGGCTTCCCCTCCACGACCTGCTGATGGCGAGTTTCTTGGAAGCTGACATCCTTGCATAATACTTACATCTGCCTACATCTGCCTACATCTACCTACATCTACCTACAGCTGCCATGTACATCAAGTCTTGACACACGTTGATTCTACTCCCAGCACCTGCCTCAAAGGACATCTTTGGCCCTGTGCCAGCAGCAAAGGCATGAGCCTAGCGACGTTCCGGGCAATTTCGGGGCCCCGCAATCATTTTCAAGATATTGGAGGATGCTCAGAAATGCTCTTAAATGCCCAGAAATGCTCAGAAATGCTCAGGGCACTTCAAAGCAGTCTTCACAGCTCGGTCTAGTGGAGCTTCGCCTCCAGCCGTTGCTGGAAGCTGCTGCCGTGGAAGGCCGCCGCCGGTGTGAGCACTCCACGGGCGTCAACGGCCAGGGACTGCCAGACGTCTCATTGCTACACGAAAGGAAAGAATAAAAGGTCATAAAATTGCCAGAAGCTAGCAGCGAGAGATCCTTAAAAGTTGTTAGTAAAGGTCAAAAAACGGTCCTGCCTCAAGCTCCTCGAGGATAACAAGGGCTGCACAAGCGCAAGTGATGGCAGTCACCTTTAAACATTGGGGAATCGACAGGGGACTCGGGTGTTGTCGACAATGCACCTAGGCTTCTATCGATGGAACCAGAAGACAGATCATAACAGATCCCACCTCAAAGCCGTCGCCACCGAGGAAGTGTACGTGGCCCCAATCACCGGACTCAGCCTCAGCAACCAGGTAGCTCTCGACGAAGCCCAGAGCGCGAGCCTCGAACTGGAGCGAACAAGCATCCCAGCAAACATACAAAAACAATAAACACTTCGGTTCGATACAGCAATTAAATTACAAGCATGGTCAAGTGACATCAAGTGCATCCGATCGGGATCGCGCCATGCAAAGGACAGGCACTGCGAAAGACGCATGACCCATACACAGCACCAGAGCCTCCTGTGGTGGCCCCAATCCCGGATGAGGCGCCAAAGACTTATTCCGCATCTCCTGCCATGAATTTGTTTCACCTCTTCAAGCATCATCTGGTTGCAGCCATTCTGCGCTGGTGGGCACTGTAGGCTTCATTTAGACTGAAAGGCGAAGGCGCCAGCATGCGGCAGCAAGCCGATCTCACGCACTGCAGAACCTACCAGCTAATGCGAAAATTGGTTTGGTTCATCGCCAGCCTCCATTGTCCGGGACTGCTTCATGGTGTCCTCCCGCTCAATGACTCTAGCATCTTATGCCGTCACTTCTATATGAATGAATCTGCCGACGCTTTGGCACCCACAGTTTGGAACTGGTGTGATAGAGTCTATACTATGCTGTGCTACTTGATGCAGGCTTTCGTTTGGGAAAAAGTACCCAGCAGTTGATTTTATCTGCTGGCACGTGCTGGCGCTGACAGGGGGTGTCCCGCAGGCGCAGTGCTTTGACTGTATGCGGCACCCTCGACCCAAGTTTGCATCACGGTCCACTGGCAGGTGTCCTTGATGTCAGCTGGTACAGGATTTGCCCAAACCTGAAGATGCTGCGGAGATCAGGGTTCTCGACTTCATACTCCAGCTCATTCACGAACCGGCAGGATGTTCATGCCAGCATTGCAGGCTGAGTTGCAGCATAGTCCGCGTCCTGCAGCAGCTGGCTCAACAGGGGGGGCCGATTGAAAGTCCAAGATACTCCAACAACAACTCAAAACCTTTCGTCATGCAGTCAGCCTCCCGTTTACCCTTGCCTGTAGAATCAAGAACCCTTCGCTCATAGTGTCCTTCTTGTCCAAGGCCAAGTCCCTCACCACGACCAGCAGGTCGTCGCCATATGATGGAGCATCCTCATTCCAAAATTAAAAGAAGTTCCATGGAGTCATGGAGTCTGCACTTCTTGCCATCAGGATGTGCAAGCCATGCACAACACAACACAACCTTCAATCCTTCCACTCGTCGAAGAGGCCACAGCTGCGGCGCAGCACCCGTGAAGTGGTGTGGGATCCATAAGCTGGCCTTTGAGATCGGCACATGGCTTGATGGGCTGAAGTGCGTAACCGTGCATAAGATTTAAAGTGAAGGCTTAAGCCTGTGAGTTCATCCCTGAGTTCCCGAGAGGCCCTTATATTCCACCAGAGTCCCCATCTCATCCCATCTTCACATTTTCAACAAGAGAATTTCGGTGCCGTTCATGATGACGGCAAAATGCTTCTCTAATCTGTTTTGAAGGTCAGCTTTAAGCTCAGTCCAACGGCATGACCCAGGTCGTAGGGAAGAGCGGATCCGCCTCCGTAACGCGGCAGTCCGCGTCCTGGCATCATGCATTGCACATGTGGCTCTGCCACTCACAGTCCTGGAGAGCACGCTGGAACCACGGTCCGGGGATCCTGTGGTCGTGCTCCTGATCGCCGCTCGCCGCCGAGGCTAAAAGGGTTCTGATACACCTCGAGGCAATGCTTCGACTTCTTGCTGCAAAATCCAACGCGCACTTATCGTTGCCACCTGCTCTCTGCATTTCGGCACTGGGGCTCTTCACACGTTCGGCAAGTCCTTTTTCAGCGTCGCTGGGGGCAAGACTTGAGTTCGGCAGGGTTGAAGACGCTTGCTCTTTCTTGCCCGCAGGGGATCCACGTCGGAGCTCAAAGCTCCACAGGCAAGACCATCCCAGCGACAGTACACCGGGTACATCCCAGAAGGTCATGATCCACAGCAAGGTCACTGGGGATGAGAATGCACGGGTTCCACTTGTGCTCCAATTCTTTGCCGTGTAATGACCTCACTGTGAGATTGCATAAGCCGCGCGATGCCGTCGATTGTCGTGGCGAAGGCTTGATCACAGGCTCGGTGCATATGCCTGTTCTCTTTTCGTGTGGTCCTACTCACTGTCACAAACTCTCACGTTGCCCATTGCTTAGACATTCCATCCAACAGCAGCCAGACACTGCCTGCCTCGCCACGGCATATGGTGCACTCGACACACATAAACATATCATAGCGATGTCAGCCGATCGGTGACAACAGTTGATCAAGATTGAAATTCAACGGTGAAAAACAAATTGAAAAGCCCAGTCCATGCAACATTCACCCTGCTCTGGCTGCTACCCAAGCTGCATTCATGTCGAAGTGCAAATAAGTGCTGTCCAAGTTTGCGGAGCCATTCTCCGGTATTACCCGTGACAGAATGCTACCAGGGAGCCAGCGCATGGAATCTGATTGGAGAGGGGTCAAGGGGGAAGGCCCTCAGCAAGCCCACTCTCATTTAGAGATGGAAGGACGTAGAAGAGGGAACCTCAATCAGTCAGTCTCTGAGTCCCACAACAGCTGCATGATATCTTGGCCTTTGCCTCGACATCGTCATCGTCATGCTCAGCTTGTCCAGGCCGCGTCGCTGCCGGTGCAGACCTTTCGAACTGCGACGCGCTTTTCAGGCCGAGCGGCATTTGCAGGCAGATTAACAGCTCAAGCGGCACCCTTCAGGCACCCCAAACTCGCGTGCAGATGCTCCGCCAAGCCACTGCCATTGGCACTGGAAAGGCTGGCTGCTCGGCGGCCAAGGCCTTGTCTTGGCGAACTTGCGGCTAGTCACGGCTAGTCTGTTGGATGCATTTCATGAAACCCTGAATACGTAGCCCTGATACCTTTAAAGCTTCACAGATCAACGAGAATCAAAGCTGCGCCAAAGGACATGGACAAAACAAGCCTGACAGATTGCGGCCGTTCTAGGGGACGTGTTTTTAATGGTTCCTGTGTTTTTGAACAAACACAGAGATCATTGAATGCTGTGCTGTACGATGTTTGCGTATATTCCAGTCTGAGCGCGAAAACTAAACAGAACAGAGAGCCCAGCCCATTAGGCTTGCAATGTGCTCGCACCTGCTCAGGACTGGATATCGAACCCCTCGACTTAACTCCACGCTGACGCATTCTGTGAAGACGGCACCACAAGGTTGTTGCATTCTTTCACGGACTTTTGCACTTGGAAACTCTGGGCTCGAAAGCGCGGATTCAATAACTCCACCTGGCTTCGGGAAGCCGGAATCCACGGGGTTAGAAAGACGGAGCTCGCAGATTCGGAATCCTCTGGTTAGGGAAAACTTGTATCGCAAACCGCGTAGTTTCCTCAGCTGCATGTTGCGGGATGCTCGGTCCCGAAGATGGGTGACTGGCAGGAACAAAGCATTGCCAGGTTCCTGAACGGAGCAAGTGCCTGAAGAGGCAATTCTCGTTTCTTGAACCGGCCAACTTCCAGAATCGCGTGGCGTCAATGTCCTACTCAATAATTTGTGTGAAGGGTTTGTTCTGTAGTTCAAGAGCCTCAGTTTCTTGAATCGGGCTAGTTCCTGAACCCTGTGTGTCTGACTCGTTGCCACTTCTTGAACCGCCAACTATTTCAGTGCAACCCTCCTCCCCTCCCCAATCTCCCCTTAGTTTTCAAGCCCCTGGTTGGAAGCACGATTCCGTCTCTCACGTGGACTTCAGCCTTCCAAGTTTTCAATATTGCCTCTTCCTGCTTGTCCAACCAGTAACCAGCATGAAGCTTGCCTGTTTGTTCAACATGTTCGCATCCTTCTATGCCGCCCTCATTCTTCAAAGCAGCTTGAACATTTAGTTGCCTTGAACATGAAGATCAGGAAGCTGAGGGCCTGGAAGCCGCTCTCAACGTAGGCCGGGACTTGGGTTCGGTAAGAACTTTCGCGGCAAATTTTAATCTAATTTCACGGTGCCATGACCGAACACTCGCGGAGTGGTAACTTCAGCTTGTGCCCAAACTCATGGGTTTGGACCCATGTCTGCGTGTCGAGGACCATTTGCGGGACTGGCAGAGCTAGCGCAATGGCCGCCGAAAGAGGCGAGCGAAAATCAGGGCTCCGATTCATGCTTGCGCCACTGTTTTCCTGAATTGCGGCTGCTCCTGTTGCATACTTTGGACCATTGTCACCCAAGTTCTGAGCTTAGTGGCGCGGGTGGCACTTGTGTAGTCACCCCTGGTGGCCAAGAAAGCTGCGGTTGCCTCAGGTGGCACAGGGGTCAGGCTTCACACGCCTTACTGCCAGAAACATTTGTGCAGTCCCAGATAATCTTTCGAAGGAATTACGTTAGTCACGGTACGAACTCAGTGCCGTGGAAAGTTCATGAACAGGACATTGTTTTAATGAAGACTTGTGCGCAGGGCTGGCGGGCACGTGCATACCATACACCATGTCTGCATCAGTGTCATCAGGGGCAAGTCACATGGTGTAGAAGCCCAACCGTTCCTCAATGGTCCTATCAACACCTCCTCGTCTACACCCTAAGCCTCCAACTTGAGTGGATCTTAGTGCTAGCGCGTGGTGCAAGAAGGCTGCCTTGTCCGAGCTGTGACACCTTCTTTCGCGTCCACTCCAAGCAGCCCAAGCACTGGAAATATGGCGGGTGTCGTGCCTAGATATGCCAAGGCGCAACGATGACTGTGATGGACATGTGGCAGCCTGCCTGTCGCACCCAGCCCATCCCGAGACTCAGAAGCTGCTCTCAGAAGCTTCGCTCTCCATGGTTCCGTCAGCTCCACTCACAGTGTAACCCAACTTAAGTAACAAAGGACATTCCGCATCGAATTATCAAGAACTTGCACAACGATAATGTTTAAACCATTTGTGTGGTACTTCTGAGATTTGTTCAAATTCAACTAATGATACTATGTGTTTGTTGCATATAGCTATCATGCTGAAGCATATTCCCGGCCCAATTACATTCATGCTCAACGGTACTTCATATGCTGAATAGACCTATGATCCTTCATGCAGTTCAGTTTTTGGAGGTTGTTACTACCAGTAGGGTTTAATTAACTAGTACAATTCAACTAATTATACTATGTTGTTTCGTTCAAGCATATTTGTTTAGGGTGATCGTAACAATAATCGAACGTACATCAGTACAACCGATTTAAGCCTATTTCTGGCACATTCCAAGCAAAACATGTTAACAACTGCTACGTAATATGTTCATCTAGTTCGTATCATTCAGCCTCCAGACTAGTATGACGTGCTCGAGGGCACCGTGCAATAAATATGTACTAGGGCCAACCTAATTATTTCAGGCGTTATGCGCCAACTAAACTGTCGATCCTCGGCATAATTATTGCAGCTAACAAAAATGACTTTACTAGCTAATGTCTTCGCTTAGCCGAAACCGCTGCGCCCTTCCCTAGTACGAACTTAGTCAAAACACGGTAGGTACACGGGGCGTGTAGGTGGAATGAATACTAATATATGTATATCTATACATATACGTATATTCTCTGCTTACTTATTTATATGCTTATATATATATATGTATATCTCTCTTTATTTACTTACTTATTTCAAAACTTTTATATAAGTATATTGGCATATGCGTATAGACTTATACATTTGTATTTGTATGTGTTCAACTTCTAAATTTGTTTACATATTGATATATTCATATATTCTTGCATTTCTATTCTTACATGTGTATATACGTAATTATCTTTATATGCATGTATGTTCATAAGTATGTATTTTTAACATTTATGCATCTATGTATCTGTATATCTATATATCTATATATCTATATATCTATATATCTATATATATCTATATCTCTATAAAAGTATGTCATAATATACTATAAATATGCTGCCCCCCACAACCCCACCCCCCACCCCCAATATATGGTTGCGCCCCGGCGGGCCCACCCCCCCCCTCCCCCCAACAAAAAAAAAACCAAGATATACTGCCTACCCCCCCCCCCCCCCCCCTGTGGGGTGGTTCTGGGTGGTTTTGTTTAGGGTTTAGGGTTTGGGGTTTAAGGTTTAGGGTTTCGGGTTTAGGGTTTAGGGTTTAGGGTTCAGGGTTTAGGGTTTAGGGTTGATGCGTGGGGTTAGGGTTTGCATTGGGGGGGGGGGGTGGGAGGGGGGGGGATACCATGCGGGGGGGGGGGGCGCAGAACGCACAGCGCACAACCATATATCTGCTGTTTTCGTGGTGTGTAGGAGCTTTGAAGGACAGATGCTGGGACACACGGCAAGGTTTCCGTGACGAGCAAAGAAACAAACCAGACTTGAACGCATGCCCGATCCTGTAGGCCAGTGTAGGGTTTGATCTCAAAGTGGCACAATACATATGCATGTTTCGCTTATACAAGTATGCAAGTATACACGGATGCATGGTGCTACATGCATATTACATGCATACATTCGTCCGTGTGTACATGCATTCGCGTGTACACGTATAAACGCGTTTACATGTCAAAACACATATGCATATGTTCACCGATGTGTACATGTTCATATACGCATTTGAGGAGTACGTGTTAAGTTGTGGAGAAAGGCGTGATCAAGAACCATGGTGCATCCCCAACGCCCATCCACAACGTACTGCCTTGCTGCCAACTGATTCTGCAGCTGCTGAAGCTGCTCGCTCTGCTGCATCAAAAGTTGGCCTTG